CCGGGCCTGCCAGCAGCACTAAATCTCTCCCTGTGACTGCAAACACCAAAGGAACACGCTGATTTATGGTTCCTTTAAGTAAGAGAAGCAGAGTGTAAAACGAGAATATTTTCTGGATGAAAAATTAAAGAGATGTTTTTGTTAGTTCCTCATTCTAGGATCGCGTGTAATTTACCTTATTGGTTTTAAAGTTCCACTTGAAAGGAAAAGTGACATCAACAGGAGTTAAAGCAACAGGCTGAAAAAAGTCCTGACACACTTAACTTCACATTCTGAGAGACCTAAACCAAGACAAAATGGAGGAAAAACAAAGCAGAGAATTAACTAACCTAATGATCCTTGGCTTTCTCTTCGTTAAGGACCTCAGAACTCCTTGCATGCATTAATTAATTATCTCTCGTTACTCCCCAGCCAAGTAGGTGTTATTTATTTCAGAGGCGAGTAAACAGAGACATAGAACATCTTACCACTAGCTTCCAAGGCCACACAGAAAGACAGCGGGTAAGTTAAAACAGAAAAAAACCTGACATCCAGTTTGCTTAACTACCAGCCAAAATGCACATTTGACTGAAAACAAGAGTCGAGAACAATTAAAAGTGGAGAAAACCCAGAACCAGGAGATGGAAACCAAGCAGAGAATGACAAAAGCCCATGCCAGCAGACAAGAAACAGAAGGCCTATGGTGACACAAAAAGACTTGTGTGAATGAAGGCTCCTTTACAATAATTAGCCCCCCCGGCGAGAACGCCTACGCAGGTCTGACGCTGCTTTCTTAACGGTTCTCAACCATCTTAGAACTTGCTCCTTTGGGTTCTTCTCCTTGGTGCTGCAGGGCTTTAGTCTTTATTTCTGGTCTGGTCTGTGTTTGGGAGGATGCGAGAGGACCAATCTCTCTGAATCCTGCTCTAAATCGTTTCCCCCCCCCCAGTCTCCCACTCTGGGAAATACAGGCTTATTCACTTATTGATTTCAGCCACTTGGCATTAATTTAGCTGAATCTCTTTGCAGCCTTTGGAGATAAAGCTGAACCTACCAGTTTGATTGACTGCCCGAGGACTTTTTTCCCCGTGTTTAGCTTTATGCCGGTAACTGTCCTAATGGCTTCCTGCACTTGCTTCCATGATCCTGTCCTAATCAAACCAAGAGGTACGAGACAGTATCATAATCCTGTGGTAGAAGAAATGAAGAGAACGCTTCCTGGGTTCCTAATTCTTGTTTCAGCCTCAGGTTTTCAGAGGTCTCCCTTGCCGGTTTACACCTTGTGAAAGACACTGGAGCAACCGATGCTCCCGTTAGCTTTTATTGCTAAATATGTTTCCAGTGGCAGGACCAAAAAAACAACGGCTGGATTTGGAAGTAACGGCTTTTCCCGATACTCACAGGGACGCTTGCTCACCCTGTGTATATGGTTTTGCCGTATTTCCAGCTTCTACCACGCATCCAAGCAAGTCAGACCCACAGCAGCCCTTCCCTTCCGTGTGTCAATGCCAGAAACAGCTGTAATTGCCACTCCGATTTTATTCCAGCAAGAGCAGGTAGCCCACGCAGTCAGAAAGAGCCGCAAAACTCCTGCTCCATGCTTCTCACTTCAAGAGGTCTTAGGCCCCTCTGCCCAAGTGAGAATTAAACTGATTAATCGTGCAGTACTGCACATACAGCTACGGATTCCTTCAAGGCTAAGAGGAAAGCCAGAGAATGCTCCCCGGCTTCTTCTAGTCACTACCTGGCACATGCAGTTGAAGGAAAGAAAATTGTTGGTATTCCTTTCACTTTTCACAAAGGAATTTGCCAAATCTGCCAGGGCTACAAGTTGATTTAATCTAGAAACTTTTCCAAGGGACCTGGTAAACTGAGGGAGGCAACAATTTCAGGTAGCGACCGTCGCCACAATTCCTCCCTCCACGGGAAGGTTCCGTCATTCTCTGCTACGCGAAGTTATTTTACGCTTACATTACACACGTAGTGAAAGATGTACGAGGGCATTCTTTATTCAGAATAAAGCTTGCACCTGCCCCATATTGTCTCAGAAAGCATTTCTCTCCTCAATTGCATGTGGAAACAGGATAAAGCAGCATCTTCCTCTCCCTCCGAAGTTAAGTGAACCCTGTCAGAGTCTGGCTCATCGATGACAACAGCAAGTGCCTGGCAGCTCAGCGGTTAATGTGTGAGAGCAAGTAATAATAGAGTGGCTCAGGCTCCTGAGAAAGAGGAGGCATAACTGGGCTTAAGAGGGGGCCCAGTGCACCTTAAACATAATGAAAAATGGCTTTTCTGCTGACAGGCTGACATTTCAATACAATGTCAACAACATGTAAAGCACCTTCGCTCCTGTATAATGGCATCCTTAATAAAGCTATTCACACCACAGACATTTATGACTAATGGGGTGCTGCCTGGTATAAATAAAACTCAAAAGACTCACTAAAAATAAGATTTTTCCCCCTTTTCTGGTAGCACTTGCCCCCTCTCTAAATTCATTTTGAAGTGAAGCTACCGTCACCTTTTTCTCCCAACTTTTCTGCCAGAAAACGGCTCTTTACGTTGCAAATGCACGGCATTTGAGAGAAGCAAACAAAGAGCTTTCTGCGAGCATGCATATACGTTTTCAGACATGACCCCGGCATCTTCATATGTTCCCATCACCGCTGAAACGCAGCCACCTCCGTGAGCCAGACACAACGCCGGCAGCCAGCTTTGTGATTCGGGCTCTGCTAGAAGCTGGAACAGATCAACTTAAATCTGCTGTCCCTCTCCCCAAAGGAGTTAAACTCTGCCCAACTGGAAAATGCAAGCGATGTTTGCCAGCCACCACAGGCTCAGAGGCGAACGCTTGGACTTACGCCTGGCTGAAACACGGACGAGGATTAATGTGTCCCAGGAAGGGGGAATGAACCCCTGGGAACCAGGTCAAAGCCAAGTTTCCCGGTCCATGCCTCGCCCTCTCTTAGAGGTACAAAAAATCCTCACGCAGCAAAGCCGTGCTGTACTTTCAGACAAAGACTCTGCTGGTGCTGTACACAATAGTTTCTGTGTGTCCTCTGCTCCCTGCACACTTCTGGAAAATTTGGGGGTTTGGTTCCCTGTAACTTTCCCGGAAGACCAAGTTCCCACTCCGGACAGCAGCAAAGCTGTTCCTCTGAAGCTGCATTTGTATAACTAGGTTGTAAAAGCTCATTTCTCCTTCCTCGTACCTGGTCTCAAGCACCCCAAAGGACTTTCCAAGGTTTAAACTTTTGCGGGGAGAGATTCTCAGTCCCACTAAGGCAGCGCATTAAACAGACCTACAGCGATTTTCAGACACGGCGCACCGGAGTAGCTCCTAGCTCGCAGCGCCCCAAAGCTCTCCCTCCGCAGAACTGCTCACAGATCTCACGAGCTCCGGGTCTTAATCCACTCCTCGTTAGACCATCTATTGTTTCTGGTATTGTTTTAATTTTTTTTCCACTAGTTACAGCCCAGAAACCACCTCTCCTTAGAGCTGGGCTCTTTGTTCCCCCGCGTACGAACGACAGAGGTGCCCCCCCGCAGCCCCGCACTGGAAGATCTCTGTCGCGCTGTCAATAGAGCAGTCAGTGCTCTCAAGTCCGCGGTTTTTCTGCCGTCTCTGCTGGTGGGAAGACTCCCTCTGCTGTTCTAAACCAGCAGAAGGCCCGGGGCTACAACCCCTCACGGCCCCCCCAAAATCAGGAGCCGCACAGGATGTTTTCAAGCAGGTCAAGCTGGGACATTTACAGTCAAAGAAACGTCCCTGTAGTCGGTCCAGCTCGGGGAGCAGCTTCCATCATCAGTGGGAAAAGCCAGAACTGGCTTTGGATCTCGAAAAGTGGTTTGGTTTTTTTTTTATTGGGACAAAGGAAAATATTGTGCTTAATTATCAAAGGAACTGTCGAAGAACACAGACCGCAGAAAAAGAGGTAAGGGCTGATTTTAGCTTTCAGTTCTTTTTCAAGCACATCTGCAGGTTGGTCCTGATCCTTTGGCGTCGCTTCAACACAGTTCTGTTATTTATTTACTTATAAAGTTTTCAGAGGCAACTCAGCAGACAAAACCCCAGCGTTATCAGCACACAAGTGCCGACGGATCAGGAACGCTCCGACATCCCGGTCGGAGTCCAGCTGCCGGCTGGAGACAAGCATAGTGTGACCAGAACCAAGAAAACCACATCGCGGGGCTGCGCTTCGTTTTTCAGAGGGGAAAAACCAACCCAACCAAGCACTGGAACGATACTCCAGAGTACAGAAAGACTTTTCGTTCACTCCTGAAGACGAATTTTAATTCCAAGGCTCCCCTATGAAAAAACAGCACAAATAAAAGGGTCAGGTAGGCTCCGTGCGTACGCAGCACCCTCGTTATGAGGTACAGTAGATTACCACGTCAGGTCACGGGACTACGTCACGTTCAGGTGATTTCTAGACGCTTAGTAACGTGTCATTTACTTTAATGTTGCTCCATAGGTGTTTACAAGATCTTTAGGAGAGCGCTGCAAGCTGATCTACCCCAAGAAAACCATTCTCTCTGTATTACTGTACAAAACCGATGAGCGGGTTGATTAATGGATTTGGACAAAAATCCAACTTTACCTCAGCGAGATTGCTGTCCTCCCAGAGCCTTTTGCCACAGGGCATCGGCTTAGGCCGACACTGAGAACGACCAACCCATTGGGAGAAATACGCTGTTGCATTCACGCCCGTAACGGCCTCGCACATCGCTTACAGCCCCCGACACTCCACGCCAATGAATTACCACACTTTTAGCCTAGATATACTTCCTGGCTGTGCTTTGTATTTTTCCGAGGAGGCTAAGTTTGAATTTACAGAGACAGGAAGGGAAGGCGGGTGGGAGAGAAACACGGGTCCGTGTGTATTCTGGGCTGTACGATTCCACTCCGGCTGTTTAAACGAGCAGCTCCCAAGGAGACGCGGAGAGCGGCTGTCAGCGGGAGGGCTCTGGACCGCAGGTCTAGAGGGGAAGCGACGCCGTCCCGCAGCCCGACACTCACCTCACGCGGAGAGCTTCACCTGGTCGGCGCAGAGCAGGAAAGCGTTGACGTGGTCGCTGCAGTTCATGACGGAGGCTTGGTTTTCCTTCAGGCACTGCTCGAAGGCGGCGAACGGCTCCGCGCAGTCCTGGCGGATCTGCTGCACGATCGGGCTGGGGGGACAACACCGGGCCCTCAGCTCCCGGGAGCCGCGGGGTTCAACCCTGCCAGGCCCAACCGCCCTCAGGGCCGACCCGGTAGGCCCAACCCGGCCCCGGCCCCGGCCCCGGCCCCTCCCGCACTCACTGGGCGGCGGCACAGCGGGACATGCTGAGGCGAAGACGGTGACAATCGCGCTGCCATGAGGCCGGGCTGGCGGCCACGCACCGCCCGTACTGCTCCATCTCGCTCCGGCAGTAGCGTGCCGTGATCTCCAGGGCCGCTTCCCTACGGGGAAAACAGCAAAATTAACAGGGGGCGGGAGCAACGCGGCCTAACCCGGCCCGGTTCCCCCGCCGACCCCTACTCACATGCCGCCGCCGCCGCCACAGCCGCCGCAGCACCGGACTACTTTTTGTGCGCATGCGCGGCGACCACTAAACGGCCCCGCGACGCCTGCG